TCTACCCCGATTTGCTCGTGGGCAGTGGACCCACTGTGTCTATGACCAGCCGGCGAAAAGGCTCAGTGATCAGCGGAACGAGCCTCATCGGTGCTTTTTTCTTATCGTGTGGCTTCCCTATCCGCTGGCACGTGTCACATGATCTTACGAAGTTTTCCGCGTCGCGAAAACATCCTGGCCAGTAATATTCCTGAAGCAGCCTGTCTTTGGTTTTCTTTATGCCAAGGTGGCCCGACCAAGAGCTCCCGTGACACAACTCCAAGAGATCCGAGCGGTACTTCTGAGGCACGACCAATTGGTCGAGGTTCCTTCCTTTACGGTCTTTGTAAAGGCGATAGAGTACTCCGGCCCTCATCTGATACGAGATGTTCCGCTTACTGATTCCCTCTTTCGCGGTGTCGTACAGTACAGTAAGGCTCGGATCACTCTTTTGTTGCTCCATCAGAACCTCTCGGTCTACCTGAAGCAAGGTCTGAAAACTACGCGAGGAAGTGGAAAGCAGAAGCCCCCTGTCGTCCCCCGTTTCGCAGTCCGCCCCAGCGTCTCCGTCTACCCCCTCCGTGTTTTGGCTTTCCGGGGGTTCTTTGGCCGCGCCTCCGCGTTGCGTCGGCATCGTTTCAGTTTTGTTGGCAGAAGTAATCTCCTCTTTGTCGGAGGGAGACGGACCGTCCGAGGTCGATCTACACCTCGGTGACACTTCCTCCTCTCCCCGACTCACTACCTCTGCGGCTATTTGGCGCGCTTTTGCCCTCGTGAGTGCCTGCACCGCCCTTTCGCTAAAAACGAGGCCCCTCTTCCGCAGTATCTGATCTGATTTGTTCGAAAACAAATACGGGCAACTAAGCGACAAATTCCGAGAAACTGCTGCTTCGGTCTCTAGTTTCACAAAGGGACCCTCTACACTGACGCTAGCAATGGGGAGGCAGACTTTCTGGTCTTTGACTGCCTGCTTAATCCAGGCACACTCCCCCGTGTAGTCCCCGGGCCTAACCAATGACGGGTGCATTACATCTATGGTTGCCGCGCTGTCGCGAAGAACGCGGCAAGGCCTTCCATTTACTCTCATGTCATGCACGTAGGGCTCCAGAAGCCTCATGTTCTCATCGTCATCGGCGTAATGAAAGACGACTTTTGGTTTCCGGCAACCCGCCGCGATATGGCCACTTTCTTGGCAGTTATAGCATACAAGCGGCTTGCGTTTTTTCAAACGCCTTTTTTTCCTCGGGCTTCTCTTCTCATTGAACCTGGGCTCCTTAGAGCCGTCCTCGTTTGGAGACTTTCCTCCGTGTCGCCAACTTTCCCCATAGCTGTCTTTGCCGGCCTTTGCCGCATGCCATTTGCCGGTTCCATAGGGCTTATTAGGCTCTCCTCTAGCTTCCCTCTTGAGCGGGCGCTCCTCTCCCGCTTTTCTGCGTGAAGCGTACTCCTCGGCCAGCTCCCCCGCCCTCTCGACGGTGTTCACGTCAGGCTTGTCCTGCAGCCAGAACCTCACAGCGTCCGGGTGGCAACGGTAGAACTGCTCGAGGGCAACGCATTCTACAACCTTATCGTGCTGCCCGTAGACGTCCGCGCTTTTTAGCCACTCAATCAAATTTGCACGCAGGTCGTATGCGAGCTCCGGGTATCCCTGCTCTGGTTTCTTTCGCATGGTACGGAATCGCTGGCGAAAGGCCTCTGTTGTGAGGCGATACTTCCGGAGCAGGCTCGCCTTTACCTTTGCGTACTCTTCGGCGTCCTCCCTGCTCAATCGCGCGACAACGTCCGCGGCCTCACACGGAAGGAGCGTCAGCAGTCTTTGCGGCCAAGTTTCTCGCCCGAAACCCATTTTCTCGCAGGTACGCTCAAAGTTCACCAGAAAGAGACCAATGTCCTCTTCTACTTTAAAAGGCCGCATAAGCTTCGACATTTTGAAACCCTCGACTTTCCCTTGACTTGAGCGTTCTGAGCTAGCCTGCCCGCTGTCGAGTTTCTTTTGCTCCACCTCAAGTTTTTGACGCTCAATCTCGATCTCCTTTTCTTTCAAGTCCTGTTCCCGCTTATTGAATTCAAGTTGCTGTTGTTGTTTGGTTGCTCTTTTCTCGACCTCTTCCCAGCTCTCCAAGATCTCCTCATTTTCAAAACCTAATGCACAAATCTTATCAATGAGCTGCTGCTTTTTGGTAGTTTTTGCTACTTTTAAGTCCCAATTCCTCTGAAAGCTGGAACAATTCCGGTTTCTTTAATTTTTCCCACTCCATGCCTGCCATGAATGCCACTCACGCTCGGGATATCTCTCTACTGAGAAGTATTATCAAACACTCTTCTCTAGTAGCCCCCTAAGTTCGCCAAAACGTCACTGACAAATTCCTAGCTAAGGAACGACACTTGGCGAACCCCCGAACGAAATGAACACTCACCGACCTCCAATGTCCGATGCTCGTGAGACCATCCCACCGCTGCCAACCAGTTGATTTGACCGAGTGGGGTCCGTGGTGGTAGAGGGGCGACTCGAGCCAGGCACTGGGCTGGAGCTCAGCGGGAACAACGATGAGCCGCGATCTCTCTCGAAAAGTACACTGTTTATTTACATGATGTACAGTTGGTTCAAGACCAGAGAAGATATTTGCTTGTCAAAGTTCGTTCATTTTAAGCATTTGGTTCTCCCCAGGTCCCTAGGTAGGGACCCCTACATCGGCGGATAGTCGGCCAATCATAGAAAGGTGTCCCGTTCAAACACCGCCCCACATTCCATTATTACGCACACTGAGCCGCCGTAAACACTTCACCGTCGGTCCAGACAGCGCCGAGAGTCTCACCAAAACACCGGCTCGTTGGAATTCACGCAGCTGGTCAAAACACCGTCCGGGGCCGAGACGTGACGTGCCGACTTCGACTCTTCGTGTCTACGCGTTGAATGAAGGCGTCCTGATGATTTCATCGCCCCGGATCGTGCCCTGGTGTGAAACCTGAGACGTTGTTTTCCCTCTTCGGATGCTATATCCAGACCTCTACACGGTAAAGTCTGGCTATATCACGGCGCCCGTCTGGTCCGTCCGCGTTGGAAGGAGTGCTTCCGAAGCGATGCTTGCGCCAGGCTCGCTGAGTCAGATGACCTTGAACCCGTGGGAGACGCTCGACGAAAACAGACGGCCAGAAGTAGACATTGTGAAAATGGTCCGGGTCCATTCATAACAGCGCCCACCTCTCTCTCTTGCTGGCGGCCAGGCCGCTGCGTACGCTGCGCCGCCATGGAAAGTGCTTCTCTGGTGTTTTTTATTTACTACTCCGCGTGAGAGCCAATGGTAGCCTCGTTCCTTGATGACGCGCGCCAGCCAATGGGAGCCTAGCCATCAGATCGCAGCTTCACTTCGCTCTAGGGTGCCTACATGTTTCCGCTCCGCTTTAGGGTGGCGCCAACTTCTTGTTACCCTTTCCCAGATCCTCTCCCACCGCCATTTTGACCCACTTCTTATTTGGCTAAACGTACACAACGTTGAGTTTTCGTAGTTTGGACACCGGCAACACTGTGAGGCCACTTCCGTTTCCGTTCATAAGAGGAGTCGGACGAGTCGGAGGCTCAGCGGGATGGCGGTCGTCGTGGCTGTCGCTCTCTTTATTCGGGTGTTTTATACTTTGAAGTTGCGAGCAGGAAGTATGCGTTGCGTTTATCGAAACGTGGGTCCCCTCGACAAAATGGAACGCAACAGACCGGCATCGCACGCCGAAACCTCGCCGTCGGAACGGGAGAGGTGGGCGCTCCCTAGCCCTAACGAGGATTAGTGGAGTAGGGCGAGCGCACGACTGGCGAGTGTGACAAAATGGTCGACGAAACAGCGGAGGCTGCCATGGTAACGAGGTAGGCAACACTGGTTTGTCGGCAACAGGTATCACAAACGTTGTCGCCACCCTAAACAGCGGAGCGGCGGGAACATGTAGGCACCCTACTTCGCTCCATTGCGACAGGGGAGTTGAGATGCTGTTTGGCGCGGCTTAAAAGCTGATGACGTCGGTTCGCTCTATGGAAAAGTTAATGCTTTCGAGTTAAAAAAATGTGTCTTGCCCCCACCTTTTAGAGGGACAAAAAACTAAGTATGCATATAGTTTGTATATCCGATAAGAGATGGCGCAAGTTGAAATTGTCGAGCGTCACTCGACGCCTGACCGGAAAGGAGAAATGGGCCTGTCGGGGGAGCCCCAACACTTCTCCAGAACGGGAATCTTTCTTCGTCGTGAGATAACCGACAGATGACCTAAAAGGGTTAATGTAGGCTACCGCCTAGAGCGGTATTTGTACTCGAAGCTCTTTCTGTAACTTCGAAGCACGCTCTTCAGTCCGCGCCAGGAGAGGTACTGTGGCCTCAGGAACCAGCTGTAACACTCTGTTAAGACATTCTTACTAAGTTTTGTTCGCATAGCTATTCACTCTACAATCTGGTTCACACTGTTGCGATGGATGAAGACCAAGTCCACACAACCATTTTTTAAGACACTTATGACAGCCATCACCTCTGCGCGGCCCGCCGTAAGTTGCCAGAAATGGCTTAAAAATCGGTTGTTTTGGAGTCGGTGGTAGGCCGTCGCAAAGGTGTGAACCCACCTTAACGGCATAAGGCAATAAGTACTAGAACGAAGTGGGTCAAAATGTAACAGAAATTTTGCTGGTGCCTTCTCTTACAAGGTTTCAATATGGCAATTTACTTTTTATATCAGTTTTTAGAAAGCTTACGCTGCTTATTCCATTTTAGAAATAGGACTGGACGTCCGAGAAGGCTGAACGACCTTTGTTCAGCATGGACCTTTGTGACGGAACGCGGAGGCGTGTTTGCAAGCAGTATCCTGCTGGAAGGACCTCAATTATAATATTAATTTCAGACGACATAACTTTGTATAAGTTTATAATAGTGTACAGACAACAGATGGGCTGCAGCATTTTTATTTACTTTCACGAAACCGGTATACAAACTCGAAGTGAGGCTTAGAGTAGACCGTAAATGTCATGAGCTGGTGATGAGTGCGGCTTTTTATTTTGTTTTCTGATCACATTTTTCGGTCCAGTACGTATAAATTGTTGCTGCCCTACATGCTTGCTCTAATGTTCCCTCGCAGGCCGCGATCTTCTTTCCGTTACCAGGTGCTGTTGGCTTGATGTAGTACCAAATCTCACATGTACCTGCATTGAAGGAAACGCGATATGCGAAATCAGCACCGTAGTCAAAAATATTATACGTATAAAAAGTTTCTTGGTCCAATAAACACGTATGCTTGGATAAAATCATATAACAGCAAATCATAATCATATACGAACATATAAGAACAATACATTGTATTAGAAGCTATAGGCAATTTTAGAGCGCAGCTCTTAGGTGCCGGTTTCCAGGCTGAGCGGTGTCGCCGTCGGCATAACCGGGCGTTGCATGATCGGACGTTTCCCTTAATTACGTCCTACGTGACGTCCCGAAGGTCTCGACGAAGGTCACAACCTTCACAGTGACATTCACCAGGCCTTCACGAGTGACCTTCGTGACGTCTCGCGTTACGTCACGAAGGTCACTCATGAAGGCCTCGACGAAAGTCACGAGGGTCACAAGTTACGTCACGAGCGAGGAGGGAGGCAGGAAGGAGGATGGAGGAAGGGGGAGGAGAAGGGGAGGAGGAGGGGAGGGGGAGGAGGAGAGGGTACGGAAGAGGAGGGGAGGATACCGTCCTCTCCATACCCTCCCCTCCTCTTCCTTAAGAGCTGCGCTCTAATTCGGCATTACAGATAATTCTAAACGTCTTTCTGTTCTTATGAGTTTCTTATAAATTTTTCTATACTGTTGTATGAACTTATATGTTCTTATATAAACCTATTTGATCTTATGCGTGCATTGAACCAATAATTTCCTCATACAAATCAAATGTTTCTTTTGGTAATGTTGTGTTAAAGAATAGTTCGCTCGAATCAACGAATCCTACGTAGTAGCCGAAAGCGAAAATAGAACCAAAAATGATTAGGGTTCAAGTGGCTCACTTCAATCCTAGAAAACATACCGTAATAAAACTGATGTGTATACTCGCAATGGCTTGGACTGAATAGTCACTATATGCTCACACATTGCCGAACCAAACAAGCCTTTACTTCCGCTTCTTTTATTGTGGATGCTGGGCCTACTTTCAAAATAAACTGTCGAATGCGAATCTAGAGCACAGCACAATATATTACATGTCTACGATTGTCAAAGCATATATTTGCTCCTTTCGGTACACTCTACATATGCACTAAGTGAGGTAGTCGAGACCACTAAAAGGACAGGTGCTTACAACTGGCAGAATTCAGCTTTTAAATCAAATTAGCTTAAGTGGCGGAAGAACTTTACTTGCACAAAACATTTACCGGAGAGCACATTCTTGTGCATAAATTCTCGTAGCGTGGTAAAATACACTGGCTTTAAAATGTTTGCTAGTAATTCTGTTAGGGGAAAGCCTAACAGTTGCCTGCTGTCGGGATTGTCAGGTCGTACTTCGCCTTCATGCTTTTTAAACTTCTGAACCTGACTGCAACAATAAAGCTTTCACTTGCTAACGTAAAATGGCATTTCTTGTATACTTGTAATCCTACGGATTCGGTACTACTGAGGCACTGCCGCCTAATCGCAACCAGTCGCATCCAAATTCCCCACCTCCCCAGCGAGTTTTGATTGTTAATGCTAAACCTCTGGTGAATAGAACTTTAAAGTTTCAAAGTATTCGATGTCTTAAAATGCTGACGATAATATATCAGGTGACAAATTCATTCCTTGTAATTGCACTATTGTTCGAAAAACATCAAACCTCTAGCGTGGTTGGGTTGCTACTGCTATGAAAGAAATGTTTTCAGTTCACTGTGATAACAGTTGCGAGTGACGTCAAAGTAGTGTGGGTTATATTAAAATTTCGTGTTTTAAGGTTTGCTTTGGGTGCTGTGTGTCTACCGCCAAACGCAAGCATTGACGTTTTAGGTTCACCTTATAGTTGTTTTCTGCAACCAGTCAAAACATTTTTCAGACATCAATCCAGGTCGGTCGCAATCTTAATCAAAAACACGAGTAACCCAAACTAACAGTTCAATTCAAGACCATATACCTGTCTCTCAGAAAATTGTTTTCTCCGATACAAAATGATGAATGCATGTGTCACTAATTGCATACCTCTTTATAAAAAGCAGTATTGTTGGCTGAATATGTCAGTGACTAGGAGAATATTGCAGCTAAAACGCCGTGTGAAGCGCTCCAGTAATACCGCGATCAAGAAAAAGTGTTATTAGTCCTTGTTAACATCTCTTAGAAAGCGCCAAGGATAAACCATAAAACTGGTTGTTAGATTGTTAACGTGCAATTATTGATATTCTTCGAAATGATCCCCAGATGTTTTTGCGCCGTCTCTTGACCGCTAAACGTCAACGTCTGTAAGGTTAGGGTGAATGGCAAAGAACTAACAAAAGAACCCTCCATCTCAAAAACATCGAAATATTCTTCTTTTTCAGTGTGCACTGGTCAAGCGATCACTGCACCACCTTATAATACAAACCAGTAAAACATAACAAACATTGCTTTCCCAGAGAAGGCAATATTTGAAGCAGATATCATTTCAAAGGAAGAAATAGTGTTGACCCAATTTTATACCGAATATTTACACCGTATCGCTTAGGGTTGCTCAAAATTTCTCTATGCAATTTACAACTTTAGCTTGAACTCGGGTAAGGTACCAGAAGAATGGAAGGTCGCGATAGTTTTGACAGTGTTTAAGTCTGGTTAAAAACAAGGTGTGATTAATTTTTGTCCCGTCTCAGTTCTATGTATGCACAAGTATTAAATTTCTGTGACACTTTATCTCACATCTTTTAAGGAAGATACTTTAAAACAGCGGGTCTTTTTTACCGAATATCATGAATTTTGCCGAAGTCTGTCAACAGAGACACAGTTGTTTTACAGTATCGACGAATTTGGAAAAGGTAGGTGCATAAGAGGAAGGGGGGGGGGGTGTCAAACTGGTGCAGTTTTTCTAGACTTAGAAAATGCACTTGATTGTGTTTCCCAATGTAAACTTCTACAGACAACAAAATGCTCGCTGGAGAACAATAAAAAGTATGTTGGCTAGTCTCGAATTTACGTTGGCGCCAACAATCTGTATAAATAGAAAATGTTTCCTCTGAGACTGACCCCGCCCAGAGACCCTGTCTGCCTTGCGTCGCCGGGTGAACTAGGTGCGGCAACGCATGGAGGTGGCGTTACCGAAGACGACCAAACTAAAGAGCCTCGAGGAACGCCGGAGCGCTCCCACTCTCCCGATGTCACACATTGCAACGACGCTCCTGCTACGGTGCCCAACAACCTAAAAGTTGTTCTCGACTGCTACGACGCATCTGCCCTCGTGGACAACGGAGAAGACTGCTGAGTCTTGAGTGGGAGGCTCAGTCGCCGCCTGCGAAAAATTACGACGCCCGGGGGGGGGGGGGGGGGGACCACAAATTCGAACCGCCGATGGACACCTTATTACGGCTTCGGGTGGTGCACTGCTTAGGTCGAAATTCACGGCGAAACGTGTCCTGTAAATTTCGTCGTTCTAGAAGATTACTCCAGAGATTTCATTCTCGGCATGGACTTTCTCTTCGGATACGACGCCGTCATCGTTTTTAGTGCGGTCAGATTGACGCTGCGGACGCCTGTTCCGCCTGCGGAGATACCCCCAACAGCGTCAGCCGCCGTCCAAATCGTTGTCGACCACGTGAGCCTGCCGCCGCGATGAAGTGTGTCGTACCCGTCGGGACCGATGTAGCTACCTGTTGCGCGGCTGTTGTGGAAGGAAACCGTCAGTTGCTTCTGGGAAGAGGAATAGGCGTCGAAAGAGGAGTAGCTCATCTTCAGGACGGCCGCACTATGGTCCTCGTGACGAACTTCCGAGATGCACGTCAAGGAACTCCGGAACTCTGCCGAAATCGCCGCGATTACTGAAGAATCATTACCACCTCAGCAAAACAGTACGTCGCCAGAGCAGCTCGACACTGACCCAAAGCTTCCGGGCCCAAAAAGACGATAGCTTATTATACTTCGCGTCGAATTTTGCGACTGCTTTGCGACGTCGTCGAAGATGCGCCAAACCGCCGTTGCGAAGTACCACATTATTACCGAGGACGACGCGCGTACCGTGCATTGATCGCCGTACAGAGTCTCCCTAAAAGAAAGGGAGGTGATACAGGAACAAGTTGAAGAGATGCTGAACGACGACATAATCCAACCTTCAAACAGTTTATGGGCCTCTCCAACCGTACTGGTGAAGAAGAAGGACGAAACGCTTAGGTTCTGCGTGGAGTACCGGCAGCTGAACGCGGGGACGAAGAAAGACGTCTATGTACTCCCCGCACCGATGACACGGTACACCGGCTGCGCCACTCTCGATACCTTTCATCCTTGGACCTGAAGAGCGGCTAACTGCAGATTAAAGTGGACGGACAGGACCGAGAAAAGACAGCTTTTGTCACGCCGGATGGACTGTACGAGTTTAAGGTGATGTCCTTCGGACTATGCACGGCGTCAGCAACTTTCCAGCGTGTCATGGACACCGTATTGGCAGTACTGAAGTGGCAGAGCTGTCTTGTCTACATCGACGACGTCGTGTTGTTTTCCGGCGACTTTGACGAGCACTTGCGACGAACCCGAGTTGTTCTCCAAGGTATACTGACCGCCGGACTCATCCTCCAGCCGTCAAAATGTCGGTTCGCCTATGACGAATTGAAGTTTCTAGGTCACGTGGTTAGTAACGAAATGCGTTCGCCCAGACCCCAAAAAGACTCGCGTTGTCACATCATTTCCCGCGCCGACAGACAAGAGGGTTCTGTGAAGATTCCTAGGACTTTGCGCCTACTATCGTCGCTTCGTTCAGGATTTCTCAAGGATTTCCGCGCTGCTCACTGACCTCACAAAGGACGCCGAGAGGTTCGAATGGGCTGAGGAGCAGCAGCAGGCATTCGACAAGCTGAAGCGACGACCCCAGACGCCTTCTGTTCTTGGACATTTCGATCAGGGTGCGGAAATCGAGATTCACACTGATCCAGGTAACGCAGGACTCGGTGCGGCACTAGTTCAAGTGCAAGAAGGCACCGAGCGAGTCATCGCCTACACAAGTCGGACACTGATTAAGGCGTAGAAAGATTAC